GTCGTCATGATCGTTCTTCGATCGAAACGCTGCCCGTGGAAGCACCAGAAGGCTGCGTGGTCCGTACAGAAGTGACGCGCTCGATGCGCCTCTTTGACCGGCTTCCTTCCGCGCGGGATGCGTGTGCACGCAAGGAAGCACACAGACACGGACCGTGGTTGCCCCCCCTCGCCTCGCCTGCAACAAAATTCGCGCCGGAAGAAAGAAGAAGGCGCCCGCCGGGCGGCAGCGGCAGCCAACACCTTTGCTGCTCCCAGCTCTCCCTGACCCTGTTGCAGCTGCAGTGGGAATCTCTTTCCTTTCTTTGCGAGAGATGCGATGCGCCTTGGGATCAGGGAACGAGCATTGCTGGGCTGGGACAACCTGCTACAGTGCTACTGCTAATTAACTAGCTCCCCCAACTGTTTTGAATAGATTCTTCGCTGGATCGACTCCCCTGCGGTAGTGTAGTACGTAGCCGTTTGCATCAGTTGTATCATCAGCTGCCTTTAGCTTCTTTTGATCCTCTACTCTAAATAACCGAGCAAATTAAAGACAGCGCGGGGTTGTCGCCAAATGCATGATTGCCTTTACACCGGTGATTACCGCGGTGCCGGCAAACACATGTGGAGGTGGAACGGAAAGGCATCATGGCGAGACCGTGTCACAACAATGGCGTGTCGTTTGCAGCAGGCACACACCGGCCGGGCATGTACTAGCAATGTTATACTTTGTCCAAGCAGCAAGCCAGCTAGCTAACCTACCCATGTCATCCAAACAACAATCAAAGGTCCGTCTGCGACCTCAGGGTGTGCCGTGGCACGCAGCAGTAGCACTCCTGCTCCTATATTTCTGAATTCTGAACCAAAACTTAGCCCTGTTCACTGTTCAGTGATCATGCTATTATTGTGTCCATGCTGTGTCTGTCCGATGACTGTCCCCTCGGCCATTCGTGGATGCAGCGCCAGCAGCCGGCAGGGGCAAGTGACGATGCCCGTCCCTCGATGCCATGGCAACAACCTGCTTTTTTTTGGTGTGTGTTGTGTTCTCAAGAAACTATCATACAGACACCGCGACTCAAACCGCTTTAGTTTTTCCCTTTAGTCCTCGTTCGGTCACGGATGGGAACGATTTTTGTCCGGGTTTCCTTCAATAATTTGAATAGCGTCGGAACTGTTCTGGCAAAAACAGCCAGGAACAGAGATAACCGAACGGGCCCTTAGCTTTTTCTCTGCGCTCGGGACTAACGTTGCCATGCCAACGCTTCTTTTCGCAAAGCCTCTCGAGGGGGCTATGCAGATCAAACTTGATCGATCGAGTGCGCCATGACTATGAGAAATGGAGCAGTTCGTCGTCCATACCATTTCTAGACCTTGACGTCTGACTGTAATGCAGCAGATTTAATTCAAGCATTCATAAATGCTTTGCTATGTTCGCTTAGTTGATAAGCCATGACTGAAAGTACTGTTAGCTGATTTGTTGTGAGAAAAAAAAATATTGTTCGTTGGATGAAAAAAGTACGATTTATCGGCCTGTTCGCTGGTTGGTTTCTAGGTTGATAAGTCCGACTGGTGCTGATTTGTTGTGAGAGAAAAATACTGTTGGCTGACTGATAAGCCATGGCTGAAACCAACAAGCGAACAGGCTGAATATTGAAGTTAAAGTTAAATATTTGATGCATGTGCCGCCATACCCCAAGTCTCCAACTACAGCAAGCATGAAGGTTGAACGTGCTAGACTACCCAATCCGGCAATCCGTGCTACTACAAGAGCTGTAGTGATTTTGAGGCAAGTGTTACAAATTATTCATAGATGAATGTAGAGCTCACATCTGATCAAAGTTGCTTATATTTGCTCTGCAGTTTTGTTCATAGGTTACTTAGGATTCATAATAGCATATGCTGGGTTACATAAGGCTATTTTTAGTAATGTTAGGGGTGACCAATTTAGATTCAAATTTAAGAGTTTACTTCAGATTATTTTGTATGACATGGGTGGGGGATTTGTTTCCGGTGTTTTTTATAATAGCAATGACAAGTATTATAAAAACAAAATAGATCAAATGCTTGTAATTGTTGATGACGGATATAGTCTACTGAATTAATCAGTGCCAAAAATAAAGCTAAGTAGAGAGTGGGTTGGTTTTTCCTTGAGGGCGCATAGACATCTGCCACGTACGGTGTGTATATATATGTCTGAAAATTTAGACATAATGATTGTTGTTTCAACAAGTTACATTTGTCCTAATTTTAATGTAGCTTCGCCACTGGAATCTAGGAATGATGTTTTTTTTATTTATGTGAGGATTTCAAGACTCTACGTTTAGAGCATCTCCTAGAGTTCCCAATATTTTTTCCTCAAAATCATGGAGTTTTTCAATTCGCCAAAAACTATTGGAAGGCATAAAAAAGACCATCTCCAACTGTTTCCACTCTTAAAATATAGAAGATAATTTTATATCAAGAATCTTGTACTATTTTTAAATGATTCAAACCACTTTTATATATTCTTTCTCTTTTGTACATTTGTATCATGAACCATTTCCTACTCCTTATTCTTTTCCCACACCCTTCCACCTTTAGATTGGCCGATGAGGACGCCTGATCGGTCTATTTTTTTTCAAGCCCGGAAAGACTGGGAGGTGAGATTGGGAACTATTCAAGATGTTTTTTTTTCATTTTGCCAAAAATCTAAAATTAGGAGGCTTTGTTGGGAACTCTTGGAGATGTTCTAATGCATCTTGTGAGAACTAACCTAGATGCTTGAAAAGCACTTTGCAATTGTTGATGCGGCAGTCAGAGTTTACAGAATCAATAGTCATATTATTATGAGTTTTTTTTTTAAAAAACTCTATGATCTTTTTTCTAGAGATGTGTGGTTGTTAGTCACTACTCCCTTTGTCTCTTTTTATTTGTTGTTATGGTATGCATCTCGGTAATTTTTTTAAAAGTTTGACTAGATTTATAGAAAATATTGGCAATATTTGTATCTCTAAATAAATTTGTTATAAAAATAAATTCAACTATCTATCCAATGATACTAATTATATACCATAAATACTAATATTTTTTGTATATATTTGACCAAAATTGAGTATGTTTGACTTATAAAAAATAAAAAAGACGGTTAAAAAGAGACTGAGGAGTGTTTGCCACCTTTTAGGTTAGGTGAGTTTAGCCACCAATAGCTGCTATTTAGTGCTCGTTTGAATCTATTAACACTAAAAATTATAGCTAGCCAATGGGTAATAGTTGCTAATTTTTAGCAAGAGCCCCTTTAAATCCACCTGCTTTGAATAGCAAGTTTAAGGTGCATATGAACTATTAACAACACTAAACCAGCTAATGGAACTAATATAGTTAGCAGCTTCCTAGTTAGTAATTAGCAGGATTATTTGCAGGTTTGTTTGGATCTATTAGCGCTAATTTTTGTTGCTAATGGATCTTAGCAAGCCCTTAGTTGCCACCACATAGCGTAGCATGATTCCACTATATTAAATTCGATCTTGCACACAATAAGACTGTTTTCAACAGAGAGCTTTGTAGAGTTGTTTCTAAAACTGTCACGTCATGTAAATTACAATGAAACATGGACAAACATCCATCCTTGATGTATAGTTTCATTCTATAGTTTTGTAAACATTTAGTTTCTTGGTAATCACACTAAGAGAGTTTCATCTCGCATTTTTCTCTTTTTTTAAAAAACATTGTTATATTATAAAAATACTTCCAGGATTCAAAGAGGTGGTGATGAGGGCATGGACAGCAACCTCAAATCATCATGAACCTTTCCACATCCTCTACAACAAGCTGTTTGTCACAGCCCAAAAACTAAGAGGTTGGAGCAACATAATCATTTCAGATGCTAAAACGAAGCTGCACATGGCTCTAGAAGTCATTTTGCGTTTGGATGTCGCCCAGGAAAATAGAAGTTTGTCTCCAGCAGAACTCGACCTCATAGCTAAGCTTCAAAAACAGGTTCTCGGCCTGGCGGTCATTGAGAGGGCAAGAAGTAGGCAAGCCTCGCGTGTCTCCAATATTAAGCTGGGACACGCCAACACTAAATATTTTCACCGAAGAGTTAACGCTAGAAGAAGGAAGAACCACATCCAAAGATTGCGAAATGGTCAAGGCTGGGCGGTCTCACATACCGAAAAAGTGACGGTGGTCCAGGAGCACTTCCAAAATATCATGAAACGTCCGCCGCAGAGACGTGCTGATTTAAATTGAGGGAGACTGCAAATTTCCACGCATAATCTTGACATGCTGGTCGACGATTTTACGAGTCTGAACTCAGGAGTGCCATAAATCAGATGCCGACTGATAAGGCGCCCGGACCAGATGGCTTTACGGGTCTTTTTTTCAAAGAATGCTGGGATATTATCAAAGGGGACGTCATGAACGCAGCTAAGGCTTTCCATCGACTACGCACCTCCAATTTAGCTATCCTCAACACAGCAAATGTCGTGCTTATTCCAAAAAAGGATGGGGCGGACTCGGTATCGGATTTTAGGCCCATAAGCCTAATCCACTCCTTCGCGAAGATCATTACAAAGGTCTTGGCAATGCGCCTGGAACCTCACATGAACAGTCTGGTCTCCAAGAGCCAGAGCGCCTTCATAAAAAAAAGAAGCATCCATGACAACTTCATGTCGGTCCGATGTGTTGTGCGTCGATTCCATAGATCCAAGACCGCAACCCTATTTTTCAAGCTCGACATAGCTAAGACATTTGACTCAGTTCGATGGGAATATCTACTCACCCTAATGAGCAAGCTTGGCTTCCCCCCAGAAATGGAGAGACTAGGTGGCTTCCCTTCTATCATCATCATCTTCCCGCGTTCTTCTCAACGGAGTCCCCACTACACCTATCAAGCATGGCCGAGGATTGCGCCAAGGCGACCCTCTTTCACCCCTGCTATTTGCCATTGCTATCGACCCACTACAAAAAATCCTTGACCTTGTGACGGAAGAGGGACACTTAGCAAAATTCAAGGGAAAACACACTGTCATACGGACATCCATGTATGCGGACGACACAGCAATTTTTGTTAAGCCATATAAGAGGGATGTCACTACGCTTGCTGAAATTCTTGCCAAGTTCGGGGACGCGACTGGGCTGAAAACAAATGTTGAGAAGTCATCTCTCATCCCCATAAGATGTCAAGGTGTCAACCTGGATGAGGTCTTGAGCAATTTCCCAGCAAGACGAGCTCGCTTCCCAACAAAATACTTGGGGCTACCTCTAACAAGCACCATATTGCGAAGGATCGATTTTCAGTCTCTTGTTGACAAAGCCGTGAGCAAGCTCACTATTTGGAATGGCAAGAATATTAACCATGCAGGAAGGTCCACCTTAGTCAAAGCAGTACTCACCTCCCAAGCAGTGTACTGCCTCACATTCCTAAGAGCTCCCAAAGCCACGCTGAAGAAAATTGATAACCTTAGGAAGAGTTTCCTTTGGGCTGGATCCGAGAAGCTAACTGGGGGGGATGCAGAGTGAATTGGCCACGTTCCATAAGACCAACTGAATCTGGGGGTCTCGGCATTCTACATCTTAGAAAATTTTCAAGAGCACTACGTCTCAGATGGCTGTGAAAAGAATGGGAGGGAGAAAGAAGGCCGCTAACTAACTCAGACACACCATGTGACACGACTGGTAGGCTCCTATTCGCTGCGGCAACATTAATCACAGTTGGCGACGGTAGGAGAACATCCTTCTGGAGCAACGCGTGGCTCCAAGGTCAAAGGCCCCAAGATCTAGCGCCAAATATCTTCCAAATTTCAAAAAATAAAAACAAGTCACTCAACGAAAGCTTTGCACAACAGAGCCTGGATTAGGGACATAGACCTACAGCATGCAGGTTTCACTTCCCAACACTTCGTGGAGTATGTTCAGCTTTGGCACGCCTTAAACCACCTTCAGCTCCAATCGGATAGGGAAGACAACATCATTTGGAATTTCGTGCTAGATGGAAAATTCACAACAGGATCGGCCTACCACACGCAATTCATTGGATCAACGACGACCAATTTCAAACGACTGATTTGGAAAGTCTGGGCGCCACCAAAATGCAAGTTCTTTGGGTGGCTCGCCATCCAAAACAGACGCAGTCAAGAATCTGGACACCATTATTTCAAGACTGTCGTTACACTAGGCGCATTTGGGAGGGCATTGTAATGTGGCTAGGCAACGAACACATGCGGCCTTTCATCTGGGTGCTAGGAGACTCCGTACAAACTTGGCGGGAAAACCTAGATCGAACACCATCGACGGCGAGGCGAGGGCTACGCTCCATTATCATTCTTGTTTGTTGGGAGGTGTGGACCGAAAAAATGCAAGAATCTTTGAGCGCAAAGAATGCACACCAATGCATCTCCTCGAGAAGATCAAGGAAGAGGCTGGCTTGTGGGCAATGGCGGGAGCAAAGCATATCTCCAATTTATTATTGCGCGTGTGATTTGAGGCCACGTGAGGTGGAGCGTGTCGGGCTTTTGTCCTCTTTTACACATTTGTATATGCTTGTACAGTGCCTTTCTATGCTCTCTTCTTTTTAATACAATAGGCAGCTCTCCTGCCGGTTCCGTTTCAAAAAAAAAATTGTGCAGATGCATAGCTCTCCTATTGGTGGTTGTTCAGCCAGCAACAGTCAAACGGCTGCAGCCCTCTTTGCCTGGCCGGGACTCTTAGAAACAGGTTCATGACTCTGTGAAAAGTTGTCCTACATGCCAGCAAGCCAAACCTGAGCGAGTTAAGTACCTTGGCCTCTTATAGCCGCTCCAGACACCTTCAGCCGCCTAGCAGGTGATATCTCTAGACTTTGTCGAGGGTTGCCCCAGTCACATGACTTCAACTACATTCTGGTAGTTGTTGATCTTTTCTCCAAATATAGCCATTTCATTGCCACGAAGCATCCTTTCGGTGCTCTTTCGGTCGCTAAGCTATTCATGATTCACATTTACCAGCTGCATGGTCTACCAACTGCAATTGTTTTTGATCGTGACTACATATTCACCGGTCAATTGTGGCGTGAGCTATTCCGTCTGTCCGGGGTGGAGCTGAGAATGAGTTCCACATATCACCCTCGGTCCGATTGACAGACCGAGCGTGTGAACCAATGCATGGAGACTTTCCTCCGGTGTTTTGCTAATGCAGTACCCTCAAGATGGTTTCACTGGCTCCATTTGGCGGAATTTTGGTACAACACCTCCTGGCACTCTTCTCTACAGCAGTCACCATTTCAGGCCCTCTATGGACCACGGCGTTCGCATGATGGGACGCCGAGAACGCCCTGCGCGCGCCCTCATGATGCTCCAGCCTCCAAGATGATGCGGCCTACTAGCGCCTAGCGTGGCGCACCGAGCCATCGGGACCGTGGGTGAGCCCATCCAGCACGTCGACGGTACCGGATGAGCCCGCGACGACACGGCGCATGCATCGCCTCCGCCCCGTCCTATGGCACGCCCACGCCCTGGCGCGGCGGAAGAACCCTCGGCTCGGCCAGCGGCCACCGAGTGGCGGATGCAGGATAAGAACAAAAGGGGGCTAAATAATGAAGATTTAAGGTCAAAACTAGAGAATAATGACGATTTAAAGCTAAGTAACCGTGGTGAGAAATGAGGCTCAATAGATCCGCCCCTGCGGCCACCGGTCCACGCCCCGGTGTGCGTGGCCTACTACACCGCCACGCAAGCAGGAAGAAGAAGCATCGCTCGCTCGCTCGGCATTCCGCACTGCTCCAATCCAGTCGCGGCGGTCCCCCGGCGGGCGATACGGACGGCCCCGATCGCGTGGGGCCCGCCCACCCTGCAGCGCCCATGTATAAATACGCGGAGACAGGCTCGGTCCGCGCGTGCTCTCGCTCGATTTCGGGGGCGCGGGCGGATCAGACGGCGGGGAGCGAATCCGGGGGCCCAGTTGCCGCACCTGCCTGGCTGCGAGGCTGCCTCCCCCCTCCACTCCACTCCACCCTTCTCCACCACCACCTCCCCTGCGCCGCTGCTGCTGATCTCGGACTCGGAGCAAAAAAACAAGGGGAAGAAATCTCCTCCCTCGTGCTGTTGCCGTTTGTTTGGCCTCGACCGCGGACCGCCGCTACCATCCAAAAGGCGGGCAGCAGGCCGGTGTCGTCGCGCCCACGCCCCAGCGGGATCTTGCTGCTCCACCGCCGCCTGCTGGGATCCTCCATTCAACTCGCGCCTGCTCCAGATATTTGACCCGTGAGGAGCCGGCGGCGGCGGCAGGTACCCAACCCGGGTGAAGAAGAGCAGGAAGGTAATGGGGACTCTGCGACCTCTCGTTTCCATGACAAGATCTTGTTCTTAGAACATAGCATTGGGGCCTCGCTGGCTCTACTTCTCGCTACTCGTTTCTCGATATAGCTAGTGTTTTTTTTAGGTGTGTGTCTTTAACTCTGCGCTGCTCCGTTGGCTGTGATATGATGTTGATCATCAAGATCTCCGACCCTTTCTTGGGTCCATCCGGTCCGGGGGGCCGCGGCAATCACCATTGTTTCCCGCTGTTGCCTTTTGCTCTGGCGTGGACACCCCTGCCGGGCAATGAGTACTCCTCGCTTGCTCCTTTATCGAGACAGGATTGCTTGTTAATCTGCGCACCTCACATGTAGCCGCCGGCTTGCTTCATATAAATCGTTCCTCTTTTTATTTTTTGGCAGGTGTTCTTCACTTGAGCTCAGCTCATCGTCAGAGGCAGGCAGGCAGGCCAGCAGTAAGCAGATTCCACTGTTGCTGCGGCGCAAGGAGTATTGTCGTGGGCGTGGCGTGGCTGGCCAATTCGCGTGGAGACAGGGAAACAGCGGATGGGCGTTTGCTAACCAGTAAGTTAACTGTACCTAGCTTTGGCATCAACCACTGCCATTATTGGTTGCTTAACTGTAGTTATTTTTCATTAGTAGTGCTTAGTGCGGTTGTTAATCTCTGGGTACCATGTTTCTTGGGGAGATTTGGCAGATAAGTGATAATACAGAGAAGTTGTGTTTGCCAATAGTGGGCACCACTCCCAGTCACTGAACAAAAACAATTGCTGTGGCCCCTGCGCTGCGCCTGCCTAAAAGCGCCTATTTATCCAGGCAGTATGTGCATCCTTGTTGTTTCTGCTCTTCTTAAGCAGTTTCTTCTCAATGAAAACAAAGGGCTTTCAAAGCGCAAGGACCCACGTACTACCATAGTAGGCTTAGTTGGCTCCAAGTGTTTGTCAACCTGCTAGGTGATGCTGCCAGCCACTGTTAGCCATTTGTTGCTGTTCATTGTTTCCTGTTCTCTTCCGGCAGCTCTGGTCTTACTGTTGCATGCACTTCACTCGCTCTGGGCTCTGCTGGGCTCTGGATTTTGGTTTCAGATGGAGTGATACTACGTATCGTAAGAGATCTATCAGAAATTCAGAACCTTCTTGTCGTTGGCCACGAGTGAAGTCGGCATCGTATTTGGAAGAGACACTCGTTCTCTCTAGGGAGCTCAAGAACCTCTACCGGTGCTCAGGCGTCCAGCAGCCAGCTTTGCTGTGATACTGGCACCTGCATGTGCCACGCCCGCACACATCAATCAATCCGTCTATCCTTCTGCTTTGCCGTAGCTTCTCTGTGCCCGTAGCAAAGCGGCCTTCGCCACTCCGCATTGACTTCGTTCCGTCGATGCATAGTGCCCCTACTCCCTAGCTCTTGCGAGCTAGCTAGGTCGAGCTCAGGCTCCCTCAGCTCAGTGGGACAAGCATGCACTGCATGTCGACTGTCGTAGCTAGCTAGAGTCGACAGTGGCATGCCTGGCCTGCGACATGCATGGCATGGAGCTCTGAGCTGTACGGCCCGGCGCGTGCACGCACACACGGGGCCGGCGCGGGCCGGGGCCGGTCGGGTCGGGTCCGCTTGCGCACGCGTGGGCTCTAGCGTCACTGTTTGGCTGTTGCCGGCCGTGCAGCGGTGCAGGTTCTTGATGGCGAGTGGTTGCGAACCGCCGCACGGACGGCGCCAGCGTCACGCTGGTCTGAAATTGATAGCCTGCCGCTTCGTTCCCCGGGCACGGGCATGTGTAGGTGATGCATCTGCCCCTGTTCATGTGTTTCCTTCCTGCGTCGGAGCTCTGGACGCGCGCGTCCGGTGCTATCTGATCTGGAAATGTTCGGCCGCAGCAGTTCTTGCAAGCTTCTGTTGGATTTGGTTCTGACTTCTCTGAAGATCTTTTAGGTATGCTTGCGCTTGCATGACTGATGAGTTTGCTCTGGTGCAGGCGCACGTACTATTCCATTCCACTTCCACCGGCGGTCGACGCGAGGACTGCTCTTGCCCTGCGGCGGCGGCAAAGGGGTTTCAAAATGCTGGCGTGCATCGCCTGCTCGACCAAGGACGGCGGGGATCAGGACGGCGGCCCCGGAGCCGCCACGCCCCACGGAAGGGACGCCAGCGGCAAATCCCTCACCTCCCAGGTAGAGTGCTCCCCAAAACTATGGCTCTGTTCGCTTGAGCTTATCAGTCAGAATCAGTCAATCAGAAAACAGTGTTTTTCTCTCTCAAATCAGCAGAGCCAAAATAAGTCCCGCCGAGTACCCCACTGCATCTGGGTTGCATGCACGCTCCCCCATACTACGTGGATCATGGATGTGACGGCGGCGGATATCCGGCTGTCCTGCTCGGTCTCGGCCGTGGCCGTTACCATGCGACGCATTGATCAGTGGATTCAATGCGCTGCGCAGCTGATCGTCGTCTCCCCATAATTTTCGTACGGCGTCTGCTGTTTCTTGTCCGGCTTATGGTTGTCTCCACGCTGTTGACGCCCAAACAGAGGCCGAGACAGGGAGCGCAGCTTTTCTCTGCCATACAAAATACTTTTGCTCGTACTAATTGGCATGCTATCTAAAGACTAGGAGTCGTAGTACTCGTAGTAGTATTTCCTAATTTCCTTGACGTAAAAAATCCATTATCGTTTGAGTTGGAACTAGTACAGGGGTGAGTGTGACGGTGAAATAACGTTTGAAAACGTCCGTTGGATATAAAGCCTAGTGGAATGTGACGGAGTGGGTACATGAGTCGACGTGGTGAAGGCTGCTTTTCCTTGCACTTTATGGATCCCCACACCCAGGGTTTTGGAGTTTGGACTCTGCGCGCAATGTGATGTTGTGATTTGATTTTGTCACTTTTGTTCCCCCATTCCGCTAGTACCTTTTTTTTTTTTTTTCCTTTTGCACTTGATAGATGCTGCTGTGTACCATTCAATCTGTCCTCTAGCTCCAGCTCCAAGCAAGCTGATCCTGGGTTGCTAGCAGTACTCTGCATGATATTTTATCCTCTCGCTCCTTTTTCTTTGTTCTGCTGCCAAAGATGCGATCGTCTCGTTGTGGAAGCTGGAAAGACATTCTTTGGTTGATTTAACCTGAGCTTTACTCTCTCGTCAAAGAATGTTTCATATCTGGTCCTTAGCAAGTCTCACACCAAAAGAAAAAGAAAAAAAAAAAAGAATGTTTGCAGCCACACGTTGTGTGGTCCTGTACATGGGCTGGCTTGGGGGCCCTAGGCCCAGGCTGGGCCTGTCGTAGCTGCCTGTTGCATCCTCATGCTCATGACACGAAGCCACGAACAAGGCTGATGAAATGCATCACTAGGACTCGAGTATCCTTGTGTTGGCTTCCCGCGGCATGCTTTTGCCTTTGCTGTGCTTTAAGGCAAGGTACAAATGTGCTCTCCCACAGCACACACCAACACATGCACTCGTAGATCGTCCCCTCTGGGTGTTATTATGCGCAGCACCACTAACTGCTTTGTTGGTGCTTTGTACGTACCTTGCTTCAGACGAAAGATGTGCTGGGTTAGCGGGGAGGGTGCTTTTGTGTTCTGTAGCCTTCGCCTAAGTCATCTCATCTAATCCCTAAAGCCTCAAGTGCCTTGTGTCTGCTACTGCTAATCTTAGGTCCTAACCGGAGTGGAATCCATCATTAACCATCTGTTGTTATCATTGACGCTTTACTTAAAGACTGAATTCTCGCTTACGCTTGATTGTCTGTAGGCTCTCGTTTGCTATTTGGAAAGAAACGTGCCTACGCCCTATACTTCCAAATTAAACAAAGTGATCGTTACTGTTGCAAGATTTGTAACTGAACAGTGTTAGGTTGTTCAAGAACGTAATCGTCTGAAAAATTAAAAGCCAACTACGTATTCCGTGCTAATTCATGCAAATATATCATGTGCCATGTCATAAATTCTGCACCTGCGACCATCTGACAAAGGAAGCCTTCGGCTAATGTGCTTTCAGCTCAAGGACATGGTGCTCAAGTTCTCCGGCTCCGGCAGGCAGTACAAGGCCGCGGCGAGCCCGTCGTTCAGGGGCAACCGCTTCCACCGCAACAGCCGCCTTGCCGCGTACCCGGGTGTCATCGACGACTCGGGCTTCACGTCGGACGGGACCGCCGAGGGCTACAGTAGTTACATGAGGACGACGACGACGGGCGCGACAGCCGCGAGAACCATGCCGGCCCCTCCGCCGTGGGACGCGGCCACCAAGGTCGCCCGTGGCTTCCCGCAGCACGTCAGGAGCCCGAGCGCGAGCTGGATACCGAGCATCGGGGAGGAGGAGGAGGAGGATGACGAGGTTGTCGTCCTGGAGGAGGACCGCGTGCCGCGGGAGTGGACGGCCCAGGTGGAGCCCGGCGTGCAGATCACCTTCGTCTCCATCCCGGGCGGCGCCGGCAACGACCTAAAGCGAATCCGCTTCAGGTGCCTATCATGCACGAACAGTTTTGCGCGCAATTGCTTGATCAAATGCGTGATCAGCTAACGGAGCATCGAACGTGTGCAGCCGCGACATGTTCAACAAGTGGGAGGCGCAGCGGTGGTGGGGGGAGAACTACGACCGCGTGGTGGAGCTCTACAACGTGCAGACATTCAGCCGGCAGCAGGGCATCTCGACGCCGACGTCCTCCATCGACGACGCCACTCAGGTCCGTCGCCGACTCGCCGTCTCGACCGCCGGTCTAGCGTACGTTTTTGTGCTGTCGTCGTGGATCAGACCACACCAACTGGAACTGTTGGCATGCAGAGAGACTCGTCGTTCTACTCCCGCGCCGGCTCGACGAGGGAGAGCCCGGTGATCCTGCCGCCGACGGCAGCGGTGGGCAGGGAGCAGCCGATCGTCCGCGCCACTTCGTGCAGGGCCATGGCGGCGGCGGCTTCCACCGCCCGAGCCGCGTGCAACCCGTCGTCCAGTGCCGTGCCGGACCCGTCGGACCACGTGTGGGCGCACCACTTCAACCTGCTCAACTCCGCGCCGGCGCCGCCGGCTGCTCCGCACCTGGACCCGTCGCGCGCTACCACGTCGTCCCTGGACGAGGCGTCCGTGTCCGTGAGCAACGCGAGCGACCTGGAGGCCACGGAGTGGGTGGAGCAGGACGAGCCCGGCGTGTCGATCACCATCCGCGAGTTCGGCGACGGCACCCGCGAGCTCCGCCGCGTCCGCTTCAGGCAAGTCAATGGCCACACTAGCTATTCATTCTCCGGATGCAAGATTCATCGTCGGACATCAAATCATGCTGGAAATCTTGTTATGCTAATGGGATGTGATCTCGCGTTCTTGTGTGCCGTTGCTGCAGCCGGGAGAGGTTCGGCGAGGATAGGGCCAAGGTGTGGTGGGAGCAGAACAGAGACCGAATACACGCGCAGTACCTGTGACGTCGGAGCAAGCTAGCTAGCTCCAGGATGTGCAGTGCACGCCTTGGATGCAAGCCAAGCCACCAATCCATGGACAATACTAGAGTACTGTAGAGCTGAGTGATACTGTTGCGACTACTATCTGCTAGTGCTAGTTTTTACTTTTTACAGGGTGAACAGAGGTGAAAGAGGTCCACGGAGTGGGGCCTGTGTAAAACATGTTTGCTACTACTGATCAGGGTTTGTGTGTTGATGACCAATGTATTTTTTTTTCTCTTTGTGATGCACTAATACTGTATTGTGTTGATCTCATCAGATTAACTGTGCTCACATTACCATTTTCTAAGCGCGGGCACAGATCATCCACAAAAGACCCAACAAGTTGCCCCTGGTATAAATAACTTTGCCTATATTGGAGAAAATTCACTCTGCAATGACAAAAGAAAGCAAGACAAAAAAAATTCTCGCCAGTTTCGAGTTTTTTACAAGTGTACGATAAGGAGGACGCGTTTGCCATCGTTACATGACGTACGTCAAATTGACACTTTACTGTGTCCTCACTTGTACGCTGTACCTGTACATTCAAACCATATATGTGAAATGTCCGTCCCTTGTTGGGCTCAAGGATTTACAGGCTATTAATGTGCATATAAGCGGACAGTTTGTGACAGAAAGATTGGTCCAAGACAAACCAAATCAAATTAATAGCACAATCATGTTTATTAAAACATTGGGGGCAAGCTTGATGCAGGCAACAAGCAGATCAACGGCCCGGACGAGGGGAATGGCTTGGTGCAAGCTCTAGCACTTCGCAAAGGAATTTGCAACCCATTCTAAGATGTCTCGATGCAGCAAAACTGTGGCATGGCAAATCCGCACAACCATCAACAGGTAAACGCTCAGCTATCCTCTTCGGCAAACTGGTTTCTGCACACTATACACCATACCCCTCCTGCAGCTGATCGAATTTCCACTCTACATATCCTCATTTAGCTGACCAATTTTCTTGTCAGCCTCTTTGCTGGAGGGATATCGTCAGACTTCCCAAGAAAGTCCGACTTACCATGTCCGGCCTTCATCGTCGGGGCAGCAGGCTTCACAGTGCTTCGTATTCTCGAGGTCACAGACATTTGGGATAGTTTCTCTGTAATTGATGAGACCTTTTGTATTGCTCCTCGACCAGTTTCAGGCAAGCTGCGTGAATGCCTAAGTACAGGATTCCCTACAATTCCAAGAAAAGAAGTTTCTAAAAATCAAAACCCAAATTTCATGCAAGGAATTGGTAATGCAACCCTATATAGTAAACTTGCCTGGGCTATTCCGAGCTGGTACCCGATTTGTAGTTAGTTTATTGCTATTCTCGGTTGGTTTTGTACTCTTCTGTGATGGCTGACGATCCAAGTGAAGTTTTCTTTGTACACCTGCAATGTTGGTAACAAAATATACAATCAAACTAAATCCTTTAAATCTTGCTTGCTCCAGCCCAATTAAAACAGATAAGAAACATACCAGTCTTAGATAAACCATTTAATTTTGTGGATGCATTGCTATGAGATTTCATCGTTGAGAGAGTTCCAGTTGAGAATCTTCTAGCAACACTGTTCTCTGAAATTCCTTTTGCTCCAACTAAAACAAATGAACCAACATGTAAAACAACAATATCCTAAATGAATTAGTTGTGAAGCAAAATACTAGTCTGTTAACTAACCACATGGAGGTGTTTTAGGAGCTTTTGGACGGACAGGAAGTGGAACATATGTACAACCCTAAAAGTTGTCAACCGGAAAACTGATTATAGTCCTGAGAGACAGTAACTGAACCTTGTCAATAAAAATAGAGTAGAAAGACTATTACCTGAAAGAAGGTATGCTGGAGGACTTCTGTGGCCTTTGGTCTCTTGCTAGGATCCCATGAGCATAGTGACTGCAAGACATGCAGAAATTTAAATTATCAAGTAATGCAATGATTGATTGATATACCATCTAAGATAATACTATAACTGAAGAACTTACTGATACGAGGTCAATTGCCTCGCTACTAGCTGTTGTCATCACCTCAGACAGTTGACTGCCTTTGATCTGCATGGATAGAATACACACTCAACATTAGATCAAACATTAACCAGTCATTCAACATGTATTCACATTCACAATGAGGGGGGCAAAAGGTAGCACAATCCATCCTTTTCAGTGGAGTCCAACTATGGTAATCAAGAAAGAGAATGGCATAAACAGCATAACACTTCTGGTATCTGATGGGGATTTTGGAAACAAGTACAAGAGTAATAGGATTTGAATGGACTGTAGCGGAATCGATGAGGACTCGAGAAAAACTTAGGACAAACAGATTCTAACATTTTAGGACGAATTAAATGACGTGTAGTGCACTGTTTCATTTGTTGCAACAAACAAGTTCCTAAAAGAAAGTATCAAGAAAATCATGACGTGTGTAGTGTACTGTTTCATTTGTTGCAACAAAGTTCCTAAAAGAAGGTATCAAGAAAATCATGATAACAGTCCCTCCATTGAAGAAAAAGCATTGTTTTGGACACTGAGAGTGTCTTAAACATAATCTTAATCACTTGATGTAAAATAATTTTAAAACTAACAAAAATTAAAATGTTCAGGAAATATTTGTTCCTAAAAGATCCTACTTTTACAAATAAAGAACTACAACTGATTTGACATAACACCAACAGAACAACTGGGGCATGTTGTAGTTTTCTGGTATTTAATCTACTTTTATTAGATCCAAATACACTGGCTGCAAAATTCTAGGTTAACGCATGTTTCTTTAAAAACTTTGAGGCAGCATCAAAGAGAAAATAAACTAGTGAATATTGACCTGTGGGAACTGATACTTCATTGCTTCTGCAAGAGACAATCCTTGAGGCCAAGATTGCTCATCTGGACTACCGATAACATTGCATATCTTGTGAATCTCATCAGCTTCACTAATAAGTAGTGAAATAAGAAAACAAGGGGTAAGAGAATAGCCATGATGAGACAAAACAAGAAAATAGAGATTCTTAATTATTTAATTGAAATGAGGGGTCTGCAACAAATCTATTTTCTGGAGAGATAAAAACTAAAAGAAACTAAATTTTGGAACAGATTTCGGCATTTAATTTGAGATAAGTCAAACATTAAGGTGACCAACAAGAAAGCAGCAAACAAATTGAGCAACAGATTTGTGAGTGACAACTGACAAGCTTTAGCAGCATACACAGTCAACCCTATTACCTGGTTCCAGGAAAGAGAGGATGGAGTGTCAACAGCTCAGCCATTATGGCACCCATTGCCCACATATCTATGAGATGGCAAGGTGAAGAAATGTCAGATTACGAGTTGAGTTGGTCCATCCATAAATAGGCAAACAATAAGCAAATAGTAAGTTTTTTATTTTTATTTTTCATACCAACTGCAGAATCATAAGCAGATGACTGGAGCAAGACTTCTGGTGCCCGATACCTAAGGCATTCAAACATAGGGATTAACAAAAGATAAGACATGACTGATTCCTTTTATTTTGGTGTCTAGTTTTGAAGAGAGGGCAGTGCTAACCAGCGAGTTGAGACATATTCTGTATATGGTGGCAATGATGAGACTTCCCTTGCAAGACCAAAGTCTGCTAGCTTTATGATATCTTTGCTAACCAACAGATTCTCTGCACAACCAAGGCATTATCAGTGCAATATGGCATACACATAAGTAAAACTGAGCTGCTGATTCAGATGCAATCATGTCATATAATCCCTCTAGTGCAAGAAGTATCGTTTATGGGTTGCATGTGGTCAAAATATCTAAATTTCAGCCATGAATTAACATTTTTGAACAAGAATAATCATTTGAAAATGGTATGTGTACATTTTTTAAAAAATAGTTGGTATGTTTTATCAACATCATGCGATATTACACCAATGTGCTTATCTCACAATGTGGGGAGTATCTCGCCTGAGGGAGGATATGTACAGGGGGTGTATGTGAGTTTACTAGACTACCTATATTGCAATATTATATAGACTGGTAGTCAAAGTTATGTTTCGGTAATCATTTGATGACTAAGTAACCATTTTTTTATATGCTATGGAAACATCTCAACTGATTGTTGACAACACTGAGAACCTACCAGGTTTGAGGTCACGATGAAAGTAGCCCCTCTGGTGCATGTAAGCAAGAGCCTGAAATATCTGAAAGCACCAGTTGCGGACTTCAGACTCTGAGAAAGGCTTGACCCTATCTTTCATAAGTTGGTAGAGATTACACTCCTAGAAAAACAAGGGTTCAGATTCAACAAGAGCACAATAATGGTGCAGTAGAATATTTGCTATCCATGACATCTTAATTACCATGTATTCCATTATGAAGTATAATATATCATTTTCCCTGATAACCTCTTTAAGCTTCACAATGTTAGGATGATTCATGCGCCGCAAAGACTTCATCAATTAAAAAAAGGTCAGCTGAAAGAACATAACAAGGAATGATAGAAAGAACATCACTGGTCTAAAATACCTTTACTTCACGCAGACTCATACATTCCTCAAAAGAATAATACTTTTTCTTCATTTTCTTAACAGCAACCTACATTAAAGCATCGGCAAATTCTCTTGTTATTATTATTTCATTCAGAGTTCACAGTAAAAATGTTTCCAGATAAGTTCTATCTTCAGATACATACAACTTCACCATTCTGTTTATTTATAGCACGCCATACACTCCCGAAAGTCCCATCACCAACTTCCTTAATCAACTTGAATCTGCAAAGACATGTTGTAAGACAAAAATAACCTAAAATAGAGAATCTGTAGAGCTAAGAAGTGTTATAAGATAAAAGCAACCTAAAATAGCCAGTCAGTATAAAAGTTACCTATCCATTGTTGTGGTATCTGAGCTGCCTTGTGCAAGTTTTCCCCTTCAGAATAACCTAGTCAAGAGAAATATGAACAGCCAACCACAGGCACGTGTTTGCCAAGTTCTAGCTGATCAATCTCTTGCCTGCAATTAGCAAATAAGATAAGGTCTGCAATTAATTGAC